AAGAACAATTAATTACTGAACAATCAAAGGAGTAGACTCCACTCAGCCATTCTCTGCAGTACTAGGTAGGGAATGCACTGCTTGTGAAATTAAGAAGCTTCCCCGATGTGTTTTTGGCACCCCTGCCCTAATGACCAAAGCCTTTGTTTTGGTGGGTCAAGCCACCCTCATCCTCAAGTTTAGTCCTGAAGCACTCAACAGCAGCACCAGGTGAACAAGTCTAAACACTCACCAGGTCATTGGGCCCAGAAGCTTTGTAAAAGTGACAAAAAAAGGCTTTTGGGGTGGAGGAATCTTCCAGCTTGCCACAGCTCAGCATCCTGCAGGCTTGCTGGCCTCACACCTCTGCCCTCTCCTTTACTCTGTACATTTTGACACTGACTCTTGGTGTGTCTTAAAGGAGGGACTCACATCCACGTGGGTTTTCTTCCCATTACAAAGTGAGCCCACACAGGGAGACCTCCTCTATTTGGCTTCATAACCAATCCACAGGAGGGGAGTCGCACTTAAAGAGCTGTGTGGAAAGCCGTGAGCACACAGCAGAGAAAGGGGCCAAATCCCCCACTCCAAGAAGCCATTGCCCTCAATTCAGGCTGAAGAGTCTCATTTCAATCTTTGTGCTACTTTTCAATCTCCAAATATTTCACATAGCTGACAACATCTGGAGGAGACCTACTTTATCCAAGGAGCAGAGGGCTGCTGGCCTGAGAGGAGATGAGGCAGATAAAAGATAGTCTGATAGTAAAGGTTCTTTGCTTCAGGCAGAAATGTAGCTGTCTGCGATTCTTTTCATCCTCACACTTTACTGGCATCTTTTATGAAAGAGTGTGGTGAGAGGCCTTGCTACAACTCCTGATGGGGACAGAGACAGCACATTCACAGGGAAGGGACAGCAGGAAGGAGCTGCCAAGGATGAACCTCAGAGAAAAGGGTTTACAGAACGGGAGGTGGGTCCTGGGGAAACTTTTGATTCCTGGGTGATTCTGGGAAACTCCCTTGCTTGGTTTAGTCTTCTGCTGCCCGTTGTTTTTTGTGTTTTTGTTTGTTTGTTCTTACCACAGATCCTCTATGGCAATGAACTAGTCAGCTCAAAACACCCTGAGAAAGGTGTGCCCACATGCCAGGAGACTGCTGGGAGACCTTACCTTCCTGAATTGACATCTAATCCATCCAGGGTTTACAGTAGTCTACTTCAGAGTGAGGAGAAGGGATCACCAGTTAGTCCTCCTTCTCCCAGTGGCCAGTTCCATTCAGATGTCAGCCCCAGGCAGTCCATGAAGCCTTCATTCCGTCCTTCACTGAGGCCTGTCACTTCAGGGTTCTAGTGTTGTTTTTCTCTACCAGAGGCATGATCTTCCTGGTTATCTAGCCAGTGTTCTGCAGAGCCTACCCATGGCATTTATACCAGTGAAGAGTGATGAATGAATGAATGAATGAATGAATGAATGAATGAATGAATGATCGAAGACTTCTATCTTTGGAGTTCACACGGAGTTGTTTTAAAAGCGAGAGCACAGGCAAAGCTCTTTCAAAGCCAACTGTCGTTCCGGATGCAGTGCGGTCCCCAGATCTTAAAATGCACCAGATACTTCTGTCTCTTGTGTGTGTGTGCGTGAAGTGGCATGTGTGCATGTTCTTGAGTGCGTGGAGGCAGAGGTCCACCCTGGCTAAAACAGCCTTAAGAGGTTTTGAACACAGGCTCTCTCACTAGGAGCTCCAGCTCCAGTCTAGGCTGGCTGCCCGCTAACCCCCAGGGCTGCTTGTCCCTCCCCCCTCAGCACTGAGATCACCAAAGGGTCCAGGCACATTTCTGTGGGTGTTCGGGACTGAGCACAGGTCCACATGCCTGTGTGGAAAGTGCTTTACTGACATAGCTATCTCCCCAGCCCTGACTTTTTTAAAATGTAATTCAGGCTGGCCTTGAACTAATGATTTCCCAGCCTCAGTCTTGAATGCTGGGATTACAGGTATGTGTTTATAGTAGTTCTGGGTATTATTTATCATACTTACACCAACTATATTCTGGTTTAAAAAAAAAAAAAAAAAAAAGGAGCCTTCAAGTTCTTATTTTACCTAAGTTCCCAGGCCCTTTGGCTGGTGATTTCCTTACAATGACCCCAGGAACAGAGAGGCTTGGGTTTTTCCTGCAATCTTTACTCCTGAACCACCATAACGTCTCATCTATAGATTCAAAACCCCTTCATCCTTTATCATGCATTTCTTTACCAAGGGTCCCAAATAAATTCGGCATAAAACATGTGGCAGGAGTAGCACTGCATTCTCTAGTGACTTTTGCTCCACTGCTTAAGCTTGTCACATGTCATTTGCTTGCCTGGTGGGCTAGAAGCTCTAAGAGGCCAGGGAGAGCCACCTTATATTCTCAGATGACCCTTGATTAAGTATCCTGTCCCTCTTGACCACCACACACACTTCACCTGACAGCCTGCCTCACACTCCTTCTCATCTACGTATGAACACAGAAAGCACCAAAGGGCCCGGGCCTTCCAGGCTCTCCTCTTGCTGTGAGGCTCTCCTGTTCTGCTCTTCATCATGCTCCCCCCAACACCACTCATGCCACACTCAACGTTGCCTTTTTTCACACCATATCCAATTCTCCTCAATCTTGCAAATGCAGAGTCTGATTTCTTCAGTGTTCCAGGGACTAGTTACTAGCTTGCCTCCAGGACAAACGAACACTGGCAATCTTCCTCTGTAAGCTGCACTGCCTCTTTACTAGGCTTCACAGTCCCAGTGCCTAGAAAGTTACTGATGGACACATATTTCAATATGGTACCTACCTCAACTGACCCTCCTGTTTCTACGCCTGTCCTTCTACAGTCATGCTCCACAGAACACCCTGGGATCTGCTAAGAAGCCAGATCACTTACTCTTAGGGCAAAGCCTGAAGCCTGAGGTTGGCCATATATGACCTAATCCCTGGCCATCTCTCTGATTTAATTTTTTTCCAGCCTTTTCCTTGATACTCCACTCTGGTCAAGTACAGTAGGGAGAAGGAGGGACAATCAATGGACAAAACTCACTACCTCCTCCAGGCTCTCCTGCTTATGCTCTCTCTCTTTCTCTCTCTCTCTCTCTCTTTCTTTTCTTCCTTCCTTTTTTCTTCTTTCCTTGCACCCTCCCTTTTTCTTTTAGGTTTTTTGAGACAGGATTTCTCTGTGTAACCCTGGCTATCCTGGAACTCACTCTATAGATCAGACTGGCCTTGAATTTATAGAGATCCACCTGCCTCTGTCTCCCAAGTGCTGGGATTTAGAGGCCTGCATTTCCTCCCTGGCTGGTTACAGTTCTTCACAGTGTGGTGTGTGTGTGTATATGTGTGTGTGTGCGCGCGCTTTTTTAAAGATAGTATCTTGTAGGCCAGACTGGCTTCCAACTTACTATGTATCTGAGGACGATCTTCTGATCCTCCTGCTTCCATCCCTGAATGTTGGGATCACAGTTGTATGCCATGCTAGCATGTAAACCAGGGCTTGGTGCGTGCTTTGCTATTATTGTATAGACTGAACTTTGACCTCAGCCCTCTAAATAGTGCTTTCATGCTTCCATCAGGTGAAGGTGCACCTGTGTCAGGCACAGTCTCCTGCTGCTGCTGGAAGTACAGGAAAGATAACAGCAGCAGAGCTGTAGAATGTTACTGTGCAATAGGGCTCAGACCTAACTATTGTATAGAAGAACTGAGCCCAGTGGGGACTGTGGGCTGGCCCAGGATCACCTAGGAAACTAGTACCAAAGCTAATACTACAACCTTGGTCTTCTGTTCCAAATTCTGAACCATGTGACCTCCCAACTGTTCTACACTGTACCTGATCATTTATAAAACACAACCAACAAGAATGATTTAAAACACCAAAGGGAAATCCCATACTAGCAAAGCCTGAGTCCCACAGGTCAGGGTAGGTTTACTCTGAACCAGGCTAATAACAGAACAAGGCCTCCAGATCCTGCCGAGGGCTGGGCCCTGAGATCTACCCCCTAACTGCAGCCTCTCGGCTGCTGTGCACACTCTACAGTGCCTCTCAGATTACCTTTTGGGAAAAGGCAGGAGAATATGGTTTAATAAACACTGAGCATTTGAATTTGGCATTCTTCCTGCTGTGCAGGTGAGCTGCATCTGAAGATATTTCCTTTCAAACACAATGGCATCCATGCGTTACAAAGATCATAGAAAATGTATTTGACCAAACAAAAGTGATAGGATTGTGATGGAAACTTGATCTGTGGTGTTATTTAAACATGTTTCTATTTTTTAAAAAGGTTTCCTTGATGGGAATGGATAGAATTGAGAAGCTGTTCTTAAGGCCCCAGTGAGTACTCAGGCTGTCTAGGAGTGCAATTCCAGGGAGCAAGGGGTCTCTCTAGCGCAAGTTGTATGGCTATTTCTTAGCTGGCGTTCTAACGGGACTGCACCTGGCTCACTGGGGACAAAAACTCCATTCTAAATACAGCAATGAAGAGTAAAGATATAAAATCACCTGCACATGCATGCCCCATCACGCCACCGCAGCCCACATGCACTGCTGTTTATTAGAATAAGGTTAGGTTTTGCTTTTAAGAAAGACAGCATATATACGACATACATATATCCCCGTGACTAAAGCTCAGCTTTTCAAACAACCCTCTTTGGGTGTCACACACACATGCTCCAAGGCTGGAATCACACTGTGCTGTTGTGGAGTCATCTTTCGAAAACAGGGCTCCAAGACACAAAGATCGCCTGGGGAGCAGTTTCCATGTGCACACTCGCAGGGCCTTGGGTTGAACTGGCCTTAGGCATGCCTTGCACAGGAGAGGTGTGGGAAGCAGTGTTCTCGAACAATGCAGACTCTGTCCAGGAGCCACATGGGCTATTAACATGACTGCAGAGGAAGCTGATGCCCCCTGAGCACTCACTGGAGTGTATGCTACCCTTTCAGAGCCTCCATCATTCCCCACGGGGTGTGTTAGTAAACACTTAGTAATGACAGTAAACGGCAACATACCTCCATGAACGAGATTCCTAAGCTCCACACATCGGAGTGGATTCCATACTGCTCTCCTGAAATTCTTTCTGGCTGTAAGAAAGCAGGAGGGAGCTCGTGAGCGGCTGAAAGTTACCCAAGGCAGGCTTCCCTGAATGTGGGCTCAGCTAACACAGGAACCACCAACATCTGCATGGCATTTATACACACCAAAACAATTTTATATGAATGCATATATGTATTCTAGAAGTAAGAGAGAATCCTGAACACAATCCCTATGAGGAAGACCACTGTCACTGTTTCACAGACCAAGAAAAGGAAGGCTCCAGGCAGCAGGCAGAAACTAAGATGGCAAATGAGATAAGACATACTAAAAAAAAAAAAAAAAGAAAGAAAAAAAGACTTAACCCTACGTCTGCCTCCTTCTAATCCAGTGATTTTAACTGGGATGGGTAAATTATGTAAAATTGTGTATGATTTACTTGAATTTGGACAGAACAGTCCTGAAGACTATGGCTAAGCACCACCCTTAAGACAGGTTTCTCTCTGTAGCCCTGGCTGTCCTGAACTCCCTTTATAGACCAGGCAGGCCTTGAACTCAGCAATCCGCCTGCCTCTGCTTCACTGAGTGCTGGGATTAAAGGTGTGGGCCACCGTGCCTGGCTGACTATGGCTAAGTTTTATTTTCAACTTTTTTTTAATCCCCCCCCCCCCCGCTATTTTCAACTTTTTATCTGGAACTAATTTCAACTTTACAGCTCGACCCCTAAATTCACCTCCTGTCACTGTTTCAGTCCATGCAGCTTTGTGACAGGAATCAAGGTGTCACATATGACTTTGGGCCCTCACTCTGGGTTGTATAGCAGGTGCCTGGTCCAGAAAGCTCTGGCACGAACGCTCTGTTCACAAGAAACAGTTACATACTGAGCAGGTACCTCCTGCTCTGTCCTTCCAGTTACTCACAGAAATGTATGCAATGAACAGGAAGAACCAAATTGAGAAAATGAGGTCCCATAAGAATGCAATAGTTGCTCAAGGCTACAGAGCTCATTGTGGCAGGGCTGAGGTCCTAACCCAGACCCCATCACCCAACCCTAGTCAGGTACTAGGAGGTGTTCATGTAAAACTGGCCAGCCATCTACGGGAAGAGCAGCATGATTGCCAGTATTGCCAAAAACAGAGCCAGCCAGCCCAGCCATGTTAGTGAGCTCCCAAGGTCAGGGGGACCCTATCTTATCAAAAAGACAACCAAGGTTGATCTCTGGCCTGTACATGCACATGCGTGTGCACGCACACACACACTCACACACTCGGGCACATGAGGGCACACATACACCTCCATTCACAAAGAATATTGTGCATTACTTTCACTTTTAGTTGTCACACTGCTCTGCAATCATCCCTTTCCTTGTCCACTTCCCCTACAGGGAGGCCTTCACACCCTGTACCACTACTAGCACATGACACTATGAAGCCAAAAGGGCTGTCAAGGGATGTTCATTTCACACATGGTTCTAAGCATAAACTTAACCCTTTTCATACATCATAACTATCATGTCCACTAAAAAAAACTTAGACATGAGGACCAACAGAATAACTCAGTAGGTAAAAGTGCCTGATGATTGGAGTCAGGTCCCAGAACCCACATGGTAGAAGGAGAGAACCTACTCCCAGGAACTGTCCTCTGACCCCCACATATGCTGTGGCATGGGCACACACACACACACACACACACACACACACACACACACACACAATTTAACAACAAAAAAAGAGCTCAAGATGATGCACACTGTCAAACCCTCTAGACTCTTTAAAGAAGCAATCAAACACTGCCTCCCTTCTATGATTTTTCTCTCTCGGATGGCAGCTCTCACGCTGTGGTGCTTCTCCAGAATACAGAGGAAACAAACATGCAAACAGAAGTGGAATTCTCCTACAAAATATCTGGGTGGGCTGGATGATGAGGACTCAATATATATGCTTCATTTGCATACTGCACTACCAAAATAAATATAAACTGAGAAACGAAAAGACAGAAAACTGAATTTAAAAAAAGGAGACTATGAAGAGTGAAAACTGTCACAAACACGATATGGCCATAAGAGCTCTCCTTAAGCACAGGTCTGAGCCTCCGGAGGGAGCAATTATTCTTGCAGCACACAGCAGGATCACTGGGGGAGGACAAGCAAACCCAGGCAGCGAGCCCTAGGCCCGTACTACAACACACAGGTAGACTCAGGCCTCTGTGCTGACTTGGGCACGAGATAAGCCTAATGTCTGGAGTTAGGGTATGATGGCCTGAGGCTGCACAGCCCAAAGCTGGGCTCACATCTGCAGCCACAGTGGCATGCCCTGTCCTCTCCCCTCACATAGGACAAGGAAGAAGACAAAGACTATTGCCAGGTACTGCTGGAAGAACCAAGGTCAAGAGGCTGGATGGGGCTGCTTCACCTGATGGCTGTTCACAGTGTAGAAAGCTATGTGATAAGGGAAACACAGCTCTTATCTAAAGTGCCTCTGTGTGAGTATATGAACAGCACTCAAAACCAAACCAAAAAAAAAAAAAAAATGTCCTGGCCTGTCTGAACATACCTAGAAAGCTGAAAGCTGAATCTACAGACAATCTTCAAGGCAGCATCTTCAAACTGGTGCACTCCACTCGCTCCAGCTACTGCCTGTGACTGGGCGTGTGGCCAGGACCCACATTTAGTTAATGAATTCTAGGACTGTCTGTTCACAACACAACACTCCCGGTGTAACTGCCAGGAGCAAGAGGACAGCAAGGCCCATATTTTATCTCTTCTGAAAAGGGAGTTGCTGTTCAGTACAATCCACGTGTACTGCAGTGTGAGAGTTTAGTTTAAAAATCTGGAGACATTTTCTGTGACCTACGGCAGACAGGCTACTTCAGACCATGTTCTCAGCCCCGGTGCCCAGTCAGCTCACGTAGTGCAGGCCCAGCTCTGGTCATCGCCTATCTGTTCCTCCTTTCCTCTGGCCAATCTGTTCAGCTCAGAGGTTCCTTCTGGGAGCAGCAGCTTCAAAGTGAGTACCCCTCCCCCAGGGGGGAGGGCCGGCTGGGCTTTCATCAGGAGAGGGGAGGGAAGGCCAGCACCCCCCTCTCATCTGAGTGTGGTGCTGGCACTGGCCTTCAGCTCCTGCACATGCCTCAGCTCCTCTCTGCCTCAGGACCTCACTCCAAACCAGTCTGGGAGTTCCTATCATCTCTTGAGCTTTTTTTAGTGCTTTTTTATTTTAAGATTTATTTATTGTATAAATAAAATAACTTTATTTTTATTTATCTTACATTTTATTTATACAATACATAAAAGATTTTATTTATATATTTATTTTATTTTGTTGTTTTACACACATGCATAGGTGAGTAGCAGCACCTCCGGATCCCCTGCAACTGGAGTTACAGAGTTATGAGCTGCATGTGTGTGCTGGGAAAGGAGCCCAGGTCCTCTGTTCTGCAAGAGCAGCCAGTGCTCCAACCACTGAGCCATCACTCCAGCCCAAGTTTGGAGTTTTTAAAACTAGCATTCGTTTTTAAAGAGTAGAGTTGGCTCAAATAAGCTAAGCTTCTCTTTGAAGAACCAAGAGGCTGGTGTCTTACGTAGACCCTGGCCCCTGTGGGCCGGCAACTCTGAGACCCTAGCTGTCGTCACTGCGCTGTGGACCTCTCGGTAAAGTGAAGGTGACAGTAACGATGTGTATGTCCTGCCACTGTGTGAAGACAGAGTGTGTAATGCGCTCGGCAGAGCAGTGCCACACAGGAGTGCTCGGCAAGCACTAGCGCCTTTCTGCCGGCCACCGTGGCCAGTGAGCATGCTATCTGAGCAGGAACCGGAGGGAGCATGCAATCTGAGCAGGCTTATGTTCAGGGAAAGACAACAGCAAGGACTGCTACAGCCTGAGCATGGAAACAAAAACAAACTCCAAAGCAGCCACTCAGGAGCCAAGAACAGTACATTAGACAGACTCTTTCTGCTCCCAAAGGATAATATCTGAGAAACACCTTTGAAATTTTTCAAATTTCCAGTTATTAAAAACCGTATCATTAAAATGTTCTACCTGATTACTTTGTGTGTGTGTTCAGACAGAGCAACCAGAGGAGGGTGCAGGCTGTCTCCCTCTATTCCTCTCCGCTTCACTCTGCTGACAAAGAGCTTTCTTCCTCACCTTGGAGCTCGTGTGCACCCCAGCCCCAGCAACCTTCCTGTCTGCCTCCTAGTGTCAGGGTAACAGCATGAGAGCGCAGGCCAGCATGTATGAGCGCTTGGATCCAAACTCTGGTCTGCACAACTGTGCTCTGACATGCTGAGCAACAGCTCGAGTCCCTGCCTTCTCCTTCTGCGTCTCTGCCCATGTGCAGTAACCTACTCAGGTTCCTTTTTTAATACCAGCTCATACGGTCTGTAGTTCTGAGTTCCATGTGGGATTCCATGCCAAGTATTAGCAAACTATAGCTCCTGAACCTCTGTTTTGCTTGTTCATTTGCTTTTTACTTATATGGGTTTAAATAATTTTTTGTTTGTTTGTTTGTTTTCTAGAGAGGGTCTCTCCGTGCAGCCCTGGCTGTACTGGAACTCACAGAAATCCACTCGCCCCTGTTTCCCAAGTGCTGGGATTAAAGGTGTGCACCACCACCCCCGGCCCAGGTCTGGTTTTGTGAGTACAGCTTTCCTGGAATGTGGCAGGATGCTAGCTGATGAGCTGGTGGAATGCTTCGGCAGAGCCACAGCAGCAGGCTGTGCAGTCGTCCAGGTGTCTGCAGCCCTCTAAGGGAAAGCAGTCCCAGGCTGGCCCTTTCCAGGAAAATGTCTTCCAGCCCGTGGCGTATGCCAGGAAAGCACATACCCCGTACCTTCAGCTGCATGAGCTGGCCTCCACTGCACTCCGCCCATGCTGTGAAGCCAGGGGAACAGGTGAAATTGGAAGCCAGCCTCCTATATGGAGCCACGGAACAAACATGGCCTAACTGAGTCTTTAGTTGTACCAAGCATATACACAGACGTTAAGAAGCCCACAGAATATAAATGTAATGGTCGCACTAGGATGTGAAGAAGCCAGAAGGCTCCGACAAACATGCTAGTGCTTCATATTGCTAGCATTAAAAAAGGAACATGAGGTAGATTACTGTGCACAGGCAAAGTTCAGTTCCCATAAAGTTTACATAAAGCCAAAGGGCCCAGTCCTTCTCCCAAGAGCCCAGCAGCACAGACAGCAGGTCAATACCACACTGCAGTAATGGAGGGTTGTTCCCACACTCACCCACAGCCAGCCTGTGGGAAGTGCCTGGCCTACTAAAGTAAGCAAAGCTCTAACTCTGCCTCTCAGACGTTCATTATTTCCTTCCCTGGCATCTTAGGCTTTCTGCAGCTTGAACTACAAAGTTGATGACTAGAATTCACTCACCCAAGAAACAAAGCAATTTCAGCTTTGCCAATCTGAGCTAACATTTCATAATTTTAATCCTCACACTTTCAATTAACATATGGACGCATCACATTCATCCATAAACAAAAAGGGAAAAAAGTAATTTCTTTAATGTACACCTGGGAAAGACAACTGTAATCTGGACTTGCAGCTCAGATGTGATGCAATTTAATTATCGGAGCAATTTAAAGCTACCAAGAACATGATGGGCAGTTGAGAAGTTGTTTCATGGATAGCGTTTTTCCTTTCAAGTCATGGTGTTTTCATATACTTCCAGAGGCTGATATTCAGCAAGGCTTTGTTACCTTTCAGACTCACCAATCTCATCTACCTGGGAGAGCCACGGAGGAGAAGTGTTTTAAAAAGCAGACACAATAACTTTCATTGCAGGCCTACTTTTTCCACATTTAATTAAAGAGAAAGCAAAATACAAATTTCCTTAAAGCCAATGAAAACTGAAATAAACCATTCTGACCACCTGAAATACAGTGAAATGCTTTGTGTTGTTCTGAGAATAACAAGCTGCAGACCCAGGTTCTGCCTGTAGCAAAGATCTTTCAATGACGACAACATATGGGAAAAAAAAATACTGGGAATAAGGTCCATGGTTCTGGACCAGCAAGATGGCTCTGCAGGTAAAGGCACCAGCCTCCAAGCCTGACAACCAGCTGGATCTCAGGACCCACAATGTAGATGTAAATATTTCTCTACTGGACACCTTCACCATCAATATGTATAAATATGACATATTAAAAAAGATTCATGGTTATACCCATACTAAAATCTTTTAACTGTGTGACATCAACAAAAGCTCCTTAACCTGAGAGGGATTGCTTATATAAATCTAGAGCCATAGTGGTAAAAACCAATCCTAAACACTGAAATAAAAACCAGACTCGAGGTGGGTAGTGGTTGTGCAGATCTTTAATCCCAGCATTTGGGAGACAGAAACGGGAAGATCTCTGTGAGTTCGAGGCCAGCCTGGTCTACATAGTGAGTTCCAGGAGACCCTGTCTCAAAAAAGAGACAAACAAAAAAACCAACCAAACAAACAACCAACCAAACAACCAACCAACCAACCAAAACAGACTCTAGCAGGAAAGGAAAGGCAGGAGTGGGGAGTCAAAATAAAAAAAACAACCAAGAACCAAACAGGCTCTGAAAACGATAGCAGAAACATGCCCTCCTTGCTTCCCTCCATTCCTACCAACCTCTGAGCAGACTGAGAAAACCAACAAACTAAAGATTTTTATAACCAGAAATAATTTCTCTTGTTTAAAAAGGTAAGAAGAAGAAATGGAACTACTTATCTTGGGACATCTGCATGAACTTAGCAACTAAGAAAATACAGAGCTATACGCTGTAGAGAGAACCAAGAGGGTAACCTTAACATCAAGAGACCCACAGATAAATCGTCTGGTTACGTCAGTAATTTTACTTGGATCTGGTGACAAGGCATGTTTATATCCCCAGAACAAACAACCGATGCTACTGATTGATGTCCTGAGGTATATATTAGGGTTAATTAGATAACCCTAATATATAGAGTAGAAAAGTAGCCAGTATTCTATCAGGCGCAATTTTTCTGTAGGATTAAACTTCAAAACTCAGCAATTTCACACTTGAACCGACCAGTTAAGTCAACAAAGTGAGATAAGTTGATAGCTTGAGCACAAAGCCTCACTCGTTCTCAAAAGATCTGAACACGGCAGAGTGACTGGATTGACTTTGTGATTTATGACCTACTGGTCTAAAGCCGAGGAATTAATTTAAGAATTATACATTCCCAAGTACATAAAGATAAAGATGTTAGTTTTAAATGTTATTTTTGCATAAGTTTACTTACTGCCATATAAGCATTTGTTCCAACATACGTCTTGGCTATAGAATTCACCAGCTATGAGACAAAACGGGCTGTTAGAACAATATAAAGATAATGTGGAAATAAAATGGGCAATTATTCCCCATTTAACCTACAATCAGCACTCCTATAAATCAACTAAAAATTATGTAAAAGGGAACAAATTCATCCACAAAGGCATTAAAAATGATTAAATCTCTCTTTTCTTTTGGATGTGATTTCCCATTTAAACAAGCACAGCATTACGGTTTATGGCAGATAACCTTAAACGATTCGCTGAGGCATGATGCTCAGCGCTGTAGTGCCCCAAACCCGCCTCAAATAAAAAGCCAATTTGAAGTAGAATCTGAACACCCTCATCTTTCAGTCATATAGCCCAGGATGTGAATGGAGCCCCACGCGCTACCAGAATGAGATGCACTAAGGACGCTGGAGGGATAACAGACTTTGACAACTCATAATGCGAAGATGACCTTCGCTTTGGTCTTCGTGTTTGGCTGGGAGGAAAGGTGGCTGCAATTCAAATCAACATCACAGCACGCGCATGGGTCACTATCACCAGGGTTCTCAGGGGAGGCCCAAAATGGAAATTAATTAAAATTGGTGCTGCACATTGTAATGGCCCTCCACCATTGTTTCTCCCAATATTAATTTTTATTGTGGGCCAGTTGGGATCCCCAGGCTCGGCTCCCTCGCTGTCCTCTCTTTTGTCTGGCCAGAGCGCTTTCTTAGCCAAGCTGCACAGCAATGAGGTTTGCTATTCGTAAGTAGTAATTACAATATCAGCAGTTTTTACTGTCATTAAACAATGAACAATCGCATTCTGATGAAGGAAACTCGCTCAGAGATTAAAACGGAGTACCGTGTGCTCAGCCGGCAAGCTGACGCACAATTCTGTTTGTTTGGAAGCTAGGTGATTTTCAATCCGCAGGCTGAACAGAAAAAAGGCCTACCTGTGTGCTAACGCCAAAGTCACACAGCTTGACCTGTCCGCCCGTGTTCACAAGCATGTTGGAGGGCTTCACGTCTAAAAGAGATGAGAAAAGTCCCAGTGACCAACCTCACATCGACACTGTTTGTTTTTAAAAACCACGAATGTGCACCATGGAACACTGCAGAAATGGCATTCTAGGTTCACCCAAATTCCAATCACAGATTCATTGCAAAGCTTTTTATCTGAGAGCAGGTCAAAACCAATTCAAATGAAGGTCCCTTCAAACACTGGCTTTTAACAATAGGGAGTATACTCATCAGCCCCACACTTTCTTAGAAAGAGCAGTGAGATTAAAAAAAAAGAAAAAAGCAACCTTTTAACAAAGTATATGCAAAAAAAAAAAAAAAAAAAAAAAAAAAGGGTTAGTTTACATTGTATGTATAACTAAATTATGGTTCCTATCTAAGAAGTAGTAAAGCCAAAGGGACGGACACAGACATACACACACACACACTTTACTAAGTGTTTACTGCTCTAGGGTCATCACCACAAGAAATAAATTCACAGGGTTGGAATATGCTTCATATATCCTCAGTCTTATCCCTATGCACGCATGGTCTTGCTTACTGGGGTAGTCTAAAAACAATATATTAACCTTTCTACTGTAAATGCCTCCTTTCAGGCAACACTTTTTTTGTATATATATATTTTTTAATATTTTTTATTATTATTAATTACACTTTATTCACTTTGTACCCCCCCATAAACCCCTCCTTCCTCCCCTCCCGATCCCACCCTCCCTCTCCTTTCTGCATGCATGCCCCTCCCCAAGTCCACTGATAGGGGAGGTCTTCTTCGCCTTCTTTCTGATCTTAGACTATCAGTTCTCATCAGAAGTGGCTGCATTGTCATCTTCTGTGGCCTGGTAAGGCTGTTCCCCCATCAGGGGGAGGTGATCAAAGCGCAGGCCAATCAGATTATGTCAGAGGCAGTCCCTCTTCCCATTACTATGTAACCCACTTGGACACTGAACTGCCATGGGCTACATCTGTGCAGGGATTCTAGGTTATCTCCATGCATGTTCCTTGGTTGGAGTATGAGTCTCTGGAAAGTTCCCTGTGTTCAAATTTTCTTGTTCTGTTGCTCTCCTTGTGGAGTTTCTGTCCTCTCCAGCTCTTACTATTTCCCACTTCTTACATAAAATTCCATTCACTCTGCCCGACAGTTGGCCATCAGGCTCAGCATCTGCTTTGATAGTCTGCAGGGCAGAGGCTTTCAGAGGCCCTCTGTGGCAGGTTCCTAGGTTGTTTCCTGTTTTCTTCTTCTTCTGATGTCCATCCTCTTTGCCTTTCAGGATGGGGATTGAGCATTTTAGTTAGGGTCCTCTCTTTTGCTTAGTTTGTTTAGTGGGTTTATCCTATGTTGTATGTTTATATGAGTGAGTATATACCGTGTGTGTCTTTTTGCTTCTGGGACAACTCACTCAGGATGATCCTTTCCAGGTCCCACCATTTACCTGCAAATTTCATGATTTCCTTATTTTTCATTGCTGAGTAATATTCCATTGTATAGATGTACCACAGTTTCTGCGTCCATTCTTCAGTTGAGGGACATCTGGGCTGTTTCCAGCTTCTGGCTATTACAAATAAAGCTGCTACAAACATGGTTGAGCAAATGTCCTTTTTGTATACTTGAGCCTCTTTTGGATATATGCTTAGGAGCACTTTAAAGCATACTCTGAACATAACAGATCACTTTCACCAAGTTAATGGATTCAGTACACTACAGTTCAGCTTGTACTTCAGTCTTCTGGAGCATGCTCACATGTCATGTGACTTTCGACTTGGTTTGTAACATTTTAGTCTCTAGGTTTGCAGGGAGATAACAGTTCCTTTGTCCGAGTTGGAAACTGTGAGGATCAGCTGGCACAGTGGGTAGAGCACTGTTTTTAAACTGTCAGTGCTCTAAATCAAGTATTAAATAATTTCCAAAGCTCAGTGACTAGAATTTATAAAACAACTTGATACTGAGGAAACTTTCTTGCCACATCGGCCCAGGCATTCCTCTGGGGGCTACTAAACCAGTCTCCCCAGTTCTATACCTCTATAATCTGTGTTCAATAACAATGAAGTGATTCTTTAATAGCTGTGTCAGTGTCGCCCATTCTCTGTCCACAACCACCAAGCGCTTCCCAAATCAACCAGAAACATTCCCCCCCACTAGCCCCCAAGGCTGAGTATGAGCTGATGCCACCTCTGCACTTCCTGCCCTGCCCAAGCTGCTCACTCGCCAGCATGCCTCAGTGGATCCTACGCCTAGACTGTTCCGCCCCCTCACTCATGCATGGCTAGTTCCTTCACTTTCCTTAAATCCCTGCTTAAATGTTACTGTATAACAGCCTATAAGCAGGCTTAAAGCTCCCTTCTCTTTCCCCTGCTTTAATTCTTTCTTTGAGATTTAGCATTAGTAGCACCCTGTATCTCTACACAGAAAATCCATACTCCGTGTTCCTCTGCTCTGGAAGCAGAGCTCTGTGTGTGTACTCTTTTCACTCCATGTCTGGAGTGGTGTTTGGCTGACATGGGGGACATCTGATGAAGCAATGGGCTGGCAGGCTTAGCCAGAAGAAGCATGTATTTGGCCCAAGAAGGTAGTGTATTTTTGACTCAACAGATATTCTTTAGAATGGGTACATTCCTAAGTGACAGCTCCTTTTCAGACAAATCCATGGTTATTTAAAAAATTTCACACAACAAATATTTAGTGTTGCTTCATCATGTAAAGCCATGGTGAGAAGCACGAGTGAGGGCCTGTCTCTGGCCTCTGAGAGCACACCAGACTGCTATCCAGGACCTGCTGGTAGGTCCCACAGGCTGCTCAGGAGACAGCCTACTGCTTATGCATTCTGTTCTTTTCCTTCTGAACAAACCACATTTTTATAAATATAGTGAGTCATGCAACTAGATGGCTCCCAAGTTGGGCTGTGATTTTAAAACCTGATGCTTTTGGTTCAGTCTCAGATAGGTTAAATCAGAAATAGGTTCACTAGAGCCTGGGTTCAAGCCAGCATAAGGAAAAGACCAGACTTTTCTTTGTAAATGTCTGAAAAGTTAAGATTGTGTCAAGATTTTTTTTTTTATTTCACTTACATTTTTGGGGCTCTTTAATTCATTTTTTAAGACCAGTTTCACCGTGACCATTTTGCATATTGTCTGAGGATTTTGACAAATATATTTACTGCGTGAGCACGACGGAGACAGGGACGCATCCATCAGCCCCTCAGGTCAGCTGCACCCATGGCAGTCCACAGGGCCCTGCCCTCCAGCCTTGGGCAACCACTGTGCAGCTCCTATCGTTGCTGGCTTGCTAATCTTCCTCACACTTTATAAACTCCAAAATCTGTTGTTAGGTTTGCTTTAAGAAGTCTGAGGACTGATGTTCAGATGGTACTCACATGGAATCTCACTCTTTTTACTTCTAAATATATAGTTTTCATTTTAATTCATTCTTTGAAGACCTCACACAAATATACAACATATTTTGATCCTCACTACTCTCACCCCTCACTACTCTCCTCAAACATGTGTCCCTCTCAACTTTGTCTTCTTGTTTTAAACCCTCTGAGTCCCTCCTACTGCCTGTGTGTGTGTGGTTGTAGGGCCGTCTACCGGGACATACCCCTGAAGAGCACTGACTCATTAATTCCCAACAGCTCCTCAGCTGGAGGTGTGAGTTCTGCTATTCATGCTGCAATGTTGACTGGCTTAATTTTATACAGGCAACCATAGCTACTCTGAGTTCATGAGTGCAGTGTGTGTGTGCACGTGTGTGGGGGGGGGGGAAGAGAGAGAAAACTTTCTTTCCTTTTACCATGAGTCTCAAGATTGAACCCAGGTTTTCAGGTTTGACAGCAAATGCTTTTATCCATTGAGTCATCTCACAGGACCTTTACTTAAAGAGTTTTATTTTAGTGCTTTATCCATTGTGTTGATTTTCAGCACATGTCAACTCAAACCTTTCAAAGCAGTGGTTGTCAACCTTCTTAATGCTTTGCCCCTTTAACACAGCTCCTCATGGTGTGCTGACCCCAACCATAACACTATTTCATTGCTCCTTCACCGCATTTGTTACTGTTACGAATCCTAATGTAAATACCTGATATGCAGGAAGGTCTTAGGGCCTGGGAAAGGGTCATTCGACCCCCAGAAGAGCCATGACCCACATGTTGAGAACCACTGTTTTCAGGTGACAGAATTTAAAGTGTTGGCTGAGAACAGCTCCCTTGATGTCAGTTCTCCTTCATGCTGTCTTAGATCTATGTCTACCTGACAGGAGAGTTATCAACAAACCTAGTGACTGTCGTTGCCCTTACATCAAGTTTTCATGTGAAGCACGTAAATTCTACACCTCTCCAGAGGAGCTCCAGAAATACTGAGATGATTTTTCTGTCTGTGTTCCACAATGCCACAGATATCTGATTGGGTATAAAGATTACTGTAGAGGAGACAGTTATATCTGCAATTATTTTAATGTAATGACTACTTATGGAAAACGAAAGTAACAGAAGGCTTGTTGCTTTTCAAGCCTTCAGCTCACCTAGGCATATCCTGGTCTGCCTTCTGTAAGCAAAGCACAGAAAAGATGAGTCATTAAAGTGACTGATTAGAAACAGGAACCATCAGGGCAGATGTAAGTCATTTTGGTTTAATCAGGCCATTAATTATTAGGGTTTATCAATTAGTTTTATTGAAGGCAAGGGAGCTTAAATGAACGGCAGGGCATTGATTTTAACTGAGGCATCTTAAAGAAAATACAAACGAGGATGCAGAAGCCTGGAATTACGGCTTCTTTGTTTCATACCTTTGAAGAGGGTTATGCTTGTTTTATTGCCATGTAAAGTCTTTAATGAAAAAAACCCCAACTCCACCCCCTTTAACACCAAGCATGAGATGCTATTTGCTTATGTTCCCTGTTTGCAAGTCTGGCTTCCAAGACGTCAGCATTGTGCTGGAGAAGGGGAAATAAAAGTCAGGGCAAAGCAGCTCATGCTAACGCCCGGTGGCTAGATCACTATGGATGGACTTCTGGAGGAG